CCAGGTCTAGAAATAAAAAAGCCTAAACTGCTATAAAATATGCTATATAATGTTCAGCTTTCTTCAAAGTGACTTCTGTGAGAACTGTTTATAGTACTGTAAATAAATTTGTCTAATATGACTTATTCTGTTCTACAACAGTTTCTTTCTAAAAAAAGGGAGAAAATTCATTCCTTGAGTATGAAGCTTCCTGGCCAGTTGGAAATAATGACAGTATTGAGGGAGGATATAAATAATGTTTGTTTTACTCATGCCCATGTGTTCAGGAGCATGCTGCCACTGATTAGAGTGAGGTGGCTCAGCCTTCAGGAATAACTTCACAATCCATTCCAGAGGTAGCGGCACCAGCAGGAGAGTGGCCATCTGGGAACTTACATCAACTGTTGTTGCCTTCCAGAAGCCATCCTAAAACACCCAACACTTCAGTTTAACTACTCACTCCGTTGGCTATAAATCAATACAGCTTAGGTCGACTTAATTTTGTAGTGTAGACTTGCCATTAGTTAGGGGAGAAACGCAAAAGTCCAGAGAGGTAGAGAATACATTGATAACTGAAACATATAATGTCAATGAGCATTAAGGTTGCCCAAATATTTTCATTTTTTAATCCCTTTTAATTGCTACTAACTTTCTGAATCATTCATCTTCTGTTCTCAGACAGAAAGTGTTTTCTTCGTTTTTTCAGAGTCTAAGCAAAAACAGCAAACCTATTTTTGACAAGACAGTGCATAAAGTATACGTTTTTCTAAGTGTTAAAATACATTGTGGGAAGGTTTTTTGTTTTGCGGTTTGGTTTTTTTTTTTTTTTTGTATGGGCTGCAGCACTAGATTGGCTGGAAATATGAATTTAAATTTGGGAGAGTCAAATAATAAATTCACTAATGAATAAATTTACTTATATGTAGCACTTAGGGGTTTACATGTTCAAAATGTTGTATTTGCAATATAGTACTATCAAACATAAAAATAAATCAACTTTTTAATTAAACTAAGCAGATTTAACTTGGACTATACACATGTAGCACATCTATTGAATAAGATTATTCCAATTTTCTGACTATGGCTAAAATGTTCCAATTATAAACTTCCAGTGTTCCAGTGAGGTCTAGATTAATGAAGAAACTGTTAGTACATATAATCTTGTTTCATTTTTGCAATTCTGATATCCTAACTTCTCTTTCTAAAACTAAATGCTCACCTGTCAGTTGAAGGTAGGATGACTTTACATGAGCATGTCACGTTGTTAATCAAATATGTGTCACACATCACTAATGAACAGAAAGAACTGTAGTGACAAGATTACCACACATTTAATGTCTGGAATATTTTGGGCTGTCTGAGTTCAAAAGACTTATCAGTTGGTAGCAGATGAAACTGGAGTAAGTTTGAGCATGAAGCCAAGAATTAAGTGGGCTAGGTTAACTTGTAAAGAAGGACCTTTTCTAGTGATTTTGTTGTTGTTGTTGTTTCACTTTTTTGTTGTTCCGATCCAATTTCACTACCAGTATCAACACTTCTATTTGGTTTAGAAATACACATATCAGTATAACCCATTTATTCTTTTTCAGTTACATTATAGAGTAAAACTCCGATAGTCCAGCATCCAACTGTTCAGCACTCCCGATACTCCGGCATCAAAATGCCAAGCGCTCCTGACCAGCTGATTAAAAAGCCTGCCGCTCAGCACACATGTTGGCTGTAACCAGACGGAACATAAGGTTGGGGGGGGAGGAGTGGGACTGTGTTACAGTATGGAGAAGAACGTTTTGCTTCAGCGAAGAGGAAAGGGGAGGGGAGAGGAAGGGAGATTGTGTCCTGGCCAGCTGTTAAGCCATGCAGCTGTACTGGACCTCCCCATTCTCCAGCAAATCTGATAATCCAGAACCACCTAGGTCCAAAAGTTGCCAGAAGTCTACTGTATCCTGTTTCTGCACTTTTTTCAACAGCTTCTCTCACAAGATAAGACAAAAGATGAACATTAAAAAACAGCCAATTAGCAGTAACAGGCTCTGTTTTAGTATTATACATTTCACTAAAACTTTGTCTGTATTTAAAAAGAAACAACAAAACAGCCAGATTTCTGTTTTTCTCCTAATTCTGATACAAAATCTGTTACGTAATGCATGTTTCTCCAGTTCCTGCCAATTAGTAAAGGATCATTCTCTCTGTGCAGTTAGTGGCAATGGCAAACATATGCTTTCCTATTTAATGTACCTGCAGGTATTCTTATACTAACATCTCCTCTTAACTAGTTTTTCAATATACACTGTCCTCCCAGTCCTTCATCCTGCACAAGTTATTGCTTGCTCTCCCTCCCCTGCCACCTCTCAAATACCAAATACATATTTCTAAGTGAGGATGTTAAGTATCAGGTAATTGACTAATCAAATAGTCTATGCATTTTTAATCAATTATTCGATTAATCAATAGGGTGCCTCCGCCTTTCAAGTGTAGCAACAGCTCTAGGTTGAAAGCATCAAAGCCTGAGCTCAGCTAGGGACTCCCCTGTTGACCCTGGGCTCTGTGCGGTGCTGCCGCTTTGAAACACCATAGCAGCGTTTCAAAGTGGCAATGCTGCACAGAGCTCAGGGTCAGCTGGGGAGTGCTGATCCCAGGCTCTGAGTGGCACTGCCATTTTCAAGTACCACCCTCTTCTCCCCCTCCTTGCTGCCTCTCTCTATATATAATAGAGGCAGCAAGTGGGGGGGAGGGGAGTGACGAGATGACTATCCTGTCAACTATCCGATAAGCATTTACTTATCAGATAGTTGACTAGTCTGTCATATCCCTATTTCTAAAATGAAATGCTCGTGTTAGTCTCTAAGGTACCGCAGTACTATTCATTGTTTTAAAAGTTACAGTCTAACCTGGCTACCCCTCTGAGACTTTCCTTTTTGTAAAGTAGGCAAGACTGGTGAGAGTAAAAACCCAACCCAACAGGAGCAGCATCAAAAATTCACCCTTCTCCTGTACAACCCACATCCCTCCCATTTCCAGAAAACTGATTTTCTGAGATTTAAAAAAAAAATCTTTCTTCTTCAATTAGCCAAGACTAGTCAAGGAGAAAAAAGAAGTAGGACTGAGACAACTTGTAGGTGCTACTGTTTTATATTTATGGACAATTATGTAAAAAAAAGTTCTACACTTGTAAATTCAAATTTCATGACACAGATTGCAGTAGATTATTTGGATTAGGTGAACTGAAATACTTTGTCTTTTGTATCTTTTAATATATAAATATTAGTAATAAAAAAATCTTACTGTACATTTTACTGTACATTTTATAAATATGCTCTAGCACAGAGGAGGGAAAAAGGGCCTGTACATCTTACTGTACATTTTACAAATATGCTCTAGCACAGAGGAGGGAAAAAGGGCCTCTGTGGGCCGAATCTGGCCCACGGGGGCAGAGCAGAGAAGGCAGCCTTAATTGGCTGGGGAGGGGGGGAAGAGAGCGCCCAAAAACTCCTCCCACCACAGGAGCAGCACATGGCGCTGAGCTGCTCGCAAGAGCCCGTGGGGTGGGGGAGCGGAGGAGGCTTCGTGCGCTCCCCCGCCCCCAAGCCAATCAAGACCTGGGGGCGAGGGAGCTGCATGAAGCTTCCTTCGCCCTGCCCCAGCCCTGAGGGTAGCTTGTGACACTTCAGAGTGCCACGTGCTCCTCGCAGGGCGGGAGGAGGCTTCGGGTGCTCCCTTGCCCCCAAACCCTGATTGGCCTGAGGGTGGGCGAGCGTGCCACGCCTCTTGCAGGGCATGGGTGCCTAGTGGAAGAGGGGGCAAAGGGGCTTCCCCACCCCCAAACCAATCATGGTCTGGGAGAAGGGTAGCCACACCCCTTTATGTTTCGACCACTGCCCTTCTGGGGTGGCCTTGGGCTACTTCAAAAAATTTTAAGTGGCCCCTGGGCAGAAATTATTGCCCACCCCTTCTTTTGCAAGAGGTAGTTATACTGCAGAATGACCAAAGGGACCAGAAATGGGGACATTACAACCCCACTGGGCCAGCTGGGGCTATGGGTGGAGAAAGTGAAAGCTATCTAGTATCTTTCAGAGAATTTCTCTGTGTACGTCCACACTAGGAAATATTTTCGAAATAACAAAATTTGACATAGCTTCAGATATAACATAATAAAAATAATGTGTCCCCACTACGGGAAAGCATTGAAATTAGTCAGAATTATTTTGAAATAGCACATCCACAGTGATTGAAGCTTGCGTTGGACTTAAGAGCCCCTTTGCCGCCATGGGCTTTCCCAACTGGGGGGGGGGGGGGCGAATACCATGCATGCATATCCCCATTCTGGCCCCCATCCACTGTGCCTTGGACTATATCAATAGGAAAGGTTATTTCTCCATGATTCTGCAGGCCCTTGAGGATCACAAGGGATGCTTCACCAATATTAACAGCAGGTGGCCACGGAAGGCGTACCATGCCCTCATCTTCCAGAACTCCTGCCTGTTTCAAAAGATTCTAGCGAGCACTTTTTCCCCCAGACCACACCATCAGAGTCTGGGAGGTATGTCCATCCTGACATGACATGTGACTTGAATGAGCTCAAGTACCAGCTAGTGCAGCAACGCATGATGAAGCATCCCATGCTGCAGAGCGGAGGTGACAAAGCTCCTGCCCCTCGCTGGATTGCAGGACACAGGCTCTGGGCAACTTACTGGTGATTTAAAAAGCAAAGTTTGAGCTCCTCCGCTGAGTCACAGCCTTGCCTCGGGAGCTGGAGTGAGATTGCTCAATGACTCTGCCGCACGGGGGGTACCAAATTACCACGAGCATTGGCAGAAGCTGCAGAGGCTGCAGAAGAGCAATGACAGAAACAACAAAGAACACACGTGACCCACCGTTCCAGCCCCCTGACGTCAGCGACTTGCGCCCGCAGTTCTGAGCGGCTCGGAAGCCTCAACATCTCTAGTGAGCATGTGCACACACCCAATACCCCGCTTTGCCTGGCAGTCTAGGCAAGCTTGCGCTCGCGCATGCGCAGAACATACCTTCTGCCGCACATCCAGGGCCGGAGAAAGACAAGCGCCTCTACAGGAAAACTCACAATAACTCGGTGGTTGCTCTTTGAGTCTCGCGATAGTTCGTTCTCCTTGCGTTTCGCTGTAGCCGGCGAAGAGGGCGGGGGGGCGCTGCGTTCGATACCCGTCCCGCGCGGAGGCGGGGTTGCGAGGCCCCGCCCCGAGCTATGTGCCGCCGCCTTCGCCTGCTCGCGGGAGCTGGAGCGGTCGAGCAGCAGCTGCGGAGTTTTCGCTGCCTCCCTGGTGGCTGGGGCTGGGGCATGAGCCTGGCGCCCGCGCGCGTGCAGTGAGGCCGGCCGGGCCCCGCCGCCTCTGCGCCATGAATCTGCACCAGGTGCTGACGGGCGCCGTGAACCCCGGGGACAACTGCTTCTCCGTGGGGAGCCTCCTCGGCCAGCCGCTCACGGTGAGTCCCGGGCCGGGCTGCCCCGCCGGCCGCGCCCCGAGCCGCCCGTGAAGGGGCCTCAGCAGCCCCACAGCGTTCCCATGGCTACTCCCGTGTGCTGCTCCCCTCGGGCCCGTGACCGCTCGCTCCGTGCTGCCCTCCCGCCCGGGCCCCGTCCGCTCTGCACCGGGCACGGGGTGGCCTGAACTATCCGCCGGGAACCAGGTTGCTAACTGGATGCGTCCGGGCGGGGTGGGATTGGCTTGGGCTGGTTCAGGTGCACTGGGGACATATGACCCGGGAGGCGGGGGAGCAGCACAATGCAGCTCATGAGATCAAAGTGCTACCGAAATGGGGTGAGTGGGGACGCTTTGTTTCTTGGCTGCTGTTACTGTTGATATTATCATACATTACAATAGCACACCCACGGTATGCTAGGCACTGTCCACGTACACACGCAGGGATGACACAGTCCCTGCGTTGAAGAGCTTCTACAGTTTAAGGCCTACAGCCTAGCACACCTGTTCATAACTGCCTATTGGAGGAAGGAGTGGTCACACCTTAAAGAACATGGTTAGTGATAGTTGTGGTAAAGCTAAAAAACAATAAGATCTATCTATCTATATATATATGTAATCTCTGTGAGCAATGTTATGTTAAAAATACTGGTGTAGCGTCTTTCAGAGATTTGCATGTGTAAGTATGTGTTGCATTAAGAAAGTGAACCTACACTTCAGATTGCATAAATGTCAACTAGAAAACATGACTTTTTGATAAAATTTCAAATTCTCTTACTCTGGCATAAATTAATGCTTGAGTTTTATTTCACATTGAGTAGATGACAGGAAGGGCAGATCTACGTTACAGTGCTGTGTGAATGCATCTGCACCCATGCAGAGCATCCAGAGAAGACATGCTATGCTAACAGGAGAGTGCTCTGCTGTCTTCATAATTACTCCATCTTGGTGAGATGTGGAAGTTATATTGGTGTAAAAGCATTTCCTACCAACGTAGTGCTGGTGTGGACAGTGTGAAACACTGGGGGGAGTAGGCTTTTTCACACCCTCAAGTAACTAACTTAGATCTACTTAAACAGCAGTGTAGACCTCCCTAAGAGCTATGTAAAAAAGTCCTTCAGTGGCACAAAAATAGAGCTGTTTATAGCATACTTAAAAGTTCATAAGGACACTACTTCTGTCATATAATAACCCTGATTTATCTACTAAAATATTGAAGTTAAAGCTATTATTTCTGAACTTCCTGTTTTCATGCACCCTGCTGCTGAAAAGTAAATGTGTACAGCACTTAACTATAGAAGTCTAATTTGTACTTATTTTCAGTAAATAAGGGTTTTTTTCTTTATCCATTTAATATCCGTAGTCCACTATACCAAGCTTCCCTTCTTAAGTAATGAGTTTTATTTGAGTTTGTCTAGCTATAAATTTGAATAAGTATCGTCAGCATACAAGACTCTGGAGTTGAGAGAACTCAATCTTTGGTCTAAATATAAACTATTCTAATCTATTTCTCCTCTCTCCTTGGTTTGGCTCTCTTGGATGCCTCATCTGAATATTTTATTCTCATTGTTTTTCCCATTAAATAATGCTAGTGATATTATTGCAGTACCAAAGTCTTTAGGTTTGTGACAGTTGCATCCTGCCAGTCAGTTTTACTTGGTACCCCCTATATCAGAAAGGGCCCGAAGTTGAGTTAAGGCACTTGTGTCAGTTTCATTTTGGATCAGCATACAGCTGTAAACAATTAGATGTTTTCAGTCTTGCACCCAGTTTAATGCACTGCCTAATGTGCTGGAGAGTGACTAGTTGCTAGTCATATGTTGAGCCTTTGGGGCTACTAGGCATGCTTCAGTGTTCCTCTGCTGAGGTTTTTTTTGTATATAACCTTGTAAGACAGCATACATGTTCACTGTCTGAAACTGTGATCCTGTAAGCAGTTAATCTGAATGACCTCTATTGAAATAACCGGGGCTTCATGTCATCACAGAAATTTGCCTGAGTAGATGCTGATTCAGAACCTGTAAGGTACTGCACAAAAGAGAAAGTAATCAAAATAAAGCTCTTTCTATAGATGGCTCAATCACTTTTTTTCATCCAAAACTATCTTACAGTATTACACTTGCATTTGGATTCTCCTTCCAGATTTTCCTATTTATGTAAGGCTACGTCTAGACTGGCCACGTAAGACGGAATAGGCATGCAAAGCAGGCAAGTCAGAATAGGGAAATCCCCGGGGGATTTAAATATCCCTCGCGGGATTTAAATAAACATGGCCGCTGCTTTTTTCCGGCTTGGGGAAAAGCCGGAAAAGAGCGTCTAGACTGGCGCGATCCTCCGGAATAAAGCCCTGCAAGTAGGAATAAGAGATCCTCCGGAAAAGGGCTTTATTCTGGAGGATCGCGCCAGTCTAGATGCGCTTTTCCCCAAGCCGGGAAAAAAGCGGCGGCCATGTTTATTTAAATCCCGCGGGGGATATTTAAATCCCCCCCGGATTTCCCTATTCTGACTTGCCTGCTTTCCATGCCTCTTCCGGAGAAGGGGCCAGTCTAGATGTAGCGCTGTTTAGAAATCTATAATGGTCTGCAAGTGATTGCTTTCTCTCAGGAGGGAAGAATATGCGGTTTTGAGTAATACTAATTTGTGCAATATTTGTGTACAGGTGCAGTTTTGACATTAAACATCTTTTATGTGTTTTTGGTGTGCAAGAACACATATTATTAATAGAATTTTTAGCTAGTAGTTTCAGTCCTGAAGCACAAAAATATCACTCATTGCTTCTTTTTTGGTTTTTGGTTGTTGTGGTAGTGGTGTTCATATACAACTTGATCAGATTTCTCCACACTGGTTTGAGTACAAAAACTGAACTACAAATATGTTGTCAATCTCACTAGTTATATTTCCATAAATAAATGGCTCATCTTTCAGTTGATTTACAAGGGTTGGAATATAGCCATGTTTTCTATCCTTTTTTTTATATCGCTACCAGATAGTGCTTATACCAGGGCTACTCAAATTTGGAAGCTCCAGGGGCCATAATGATACTCTTAGCACATGCCGAGGGCCTGAACTTAAGTGTAGTTTCATATACATGCAGTTAGCTTCTTTCACACTGATGGGCATGAATACAAAGATTAAGACAAGACTACACAACACACTGGCCCCATTTAAATCAGTAATGCTGGTATTAATAAAATGATACCCACCCTGGCAGCAACCAGACAGCCAACACAGGACACAGAACCCACCAAAGGCAGGTAGGCTCAGCTCAGCCCTGGAATGGCCTAAGGGATAGGGCATTCACCTGGAGAGCACAGGGTAGTGGGTTCAAGTCTTAGCTGCCCTGGGGGCAACTGGACAACCAACACAGACTGCCCCAGGGATGGATCCAGGCTCCTGTATTAGGAAGGCAGGATAAGGGACCCCCTGAAGGCAGGGGGATGGACCCTGGAGTGGCCTACGAGAGTGGCCTGCCTGTGCCCCCAGCCAGTGGCACAAGTGCCCTTAGGGGTACTCGAGAAGCCTTGGGGGTACATCAACACAACTGAAATTTTCACCCATATGACAGCACTTTTAATGAGCAATGACAGTCAAGGAATTTAACTGCTAAAAGGAGTATTAACAGAAGACCATCATATAGACTATTTTATTGTTTTGGCTCCCACCCACGGGCTGCGTGTTGAGTAGCCCTGGCTTATTCCCATAACATACCCTTACGTTACTTAGAAATGAAAAGTTAAATGTGTGGCAAGTATGAAGCTTTACTTGAGTTTTCAGTTAATCATTGGAAATTTTTAAATGTCCTGCAAAGCAAAATGAAAATAGGTGCAAATAGAAATAGCTCATGGATGCTATGCTTTTTTTGTACAACTTGTGCTTAGTCCATAAGCAGTATTCCAATAGTTCCACTATCCCCAAAAAATCTTGATGCTAATTGCAGAACAAGAAGATTGCCTATGTTGTTGAGAAGAGGTTTCAGGAAAATGGCCTTGGTGAAGCATAAGTATAATCAGCCTGAAGTCTCTCATACTAGCAGTATGGAAATGATAGGGTATGTGTGACTCAAACACCTGGACAATCCCGCCACCAGATGGGTTATACTCTACTTCATAGGTTCTCAATACAAATCTTCCTTGACTTGTATGCTCTTAGTATCAGCGATTCAAAACATACTACAGGTTGTACCTCCCTTAACCAGGACACTCTGGTCCAACAACATCCATGGTGTGGCATGGACCGCGGATGTTTCTAGATCACAGAGCCCAGGAAGGGGGATATCTGGTGGCAGGGTAGGAACGTGGTAGAGGGCACCAGCAACCTTGTGTGTGTGAGGGGGGAATTGGCAGCACAGCATGGAGTTCCAGCCCCAGCAGCAGCCATGGAGCTCTGTCCCTGGCTGTGAAGCTCTGGCCTTGGCCCTTTGCCCCAACCCCGGCTGTGCAAGTCCAGCCCTGGCTTTCTCCTCTTATCTCCCAGGCTACATCTAGACTTCAAGCCTCTTTTGAAAAAGAGTGTCTAGATTAGCAGTGCTTTCGAAAAAACAAGCCACTTTTTCGAGAGAGAGCACTCAGGCAGTATGGATGCTCTCTTTTGAAAAAGCACAATTTGCATTATAGTGCCTTTTTTCAAAAGAGCACTTTAGAAAAAAGGAGTTATTCCTCGTAAAACAAGGTTTTCCACAGTTGAAAATACTGCCATGTTCTTTCAGTTTACTTTTGAAAGAACGTGGCAGTCTAGATGCAGGCGAAGTTTTTTCGAAAAAAGGCCATTTTTTCAAAAAACCCTGTAGTCTAGACACACCCCTAGTGTGCAAGTGCTCATGCTCGTTTCTTTCAGATGCATATTTTTCTTGTGCTTTACCTTTTGTTAGCTCTAAAATAATAATTACTGGTTTCAACTTTCAGGCCATGTTTGCATCTCCAAGATGCACATTACTTGAAGGCTACAAAACACCGGTAAAAAGGTTATGAAGTTACATTTTTCAGTTGACAAATAGTACGTAGAAAT